ACTGGTTGGACTGAAGGGTCTGTTTCCGTTCTGTATGACTCTATGACTCTATGTTGTGAAGACAACAGAAGGAGTTTGCAGAAAGAAATAAATAGATTGACTGAGTGGACAAAAAATTGGCATTTTGAGTATAATGTGGGAAAATACAAGTTGTTTATTTGGCAGGAAAAATGAAAGAGCACAGTATTATTTAAATGGAGACCAACTACTGAAATTCTAGGTTCAGAGGGATTTAGCTTTTCTGGTGCAAAGGTCACAAAAAGTTAGTACATTGGTACAGCAGTTAATCAAGAAGCTTAATAGGATGCCACCTTTATTATGAAAGAAGTTTAACATAAAAGTCAGTATCGCAATTACTATGGGTAATTTTGGTTTCTTTATTTATGGGAGATGTAAATGTATTGTAAGTGGTTCAGGGGAGATTTACGAGATTAAAATTTGGAATGAACGCATTGTTTTACAAGGATAGGTTGGATACGCTGGGCTTGTTTCCACTCATGTTTAGAAGCTGAGGAGTGACCTGATTGAAGTGCATAAGATCCTGAATAGTCTTGACTAGGTAGATGTAGAAAAGATGTTTTTCTGTACATAAGTCCAGAATTAGGGGGCACAATTTAAAAATTAGGACTCACCCTTTTAAGGCAGAGAATGGAAGTTTTTTTTTTTGTTTGCTGTTTGTGCAACTTTGGAACGCTGTCCCTATCCATACATATCAAAGCAGCCTATTTGAAAGGCACCACATACACAAACATTCACTCTCTTCACCACTGAAGCTCCATAGCAGCAGTATGTACCATCTACATGATGCACTGAAGAAATTCACCAAAGATCCTTAGACAACACTTTTCAAACTCACAACCATTATCATCTAGAAGGACAAGGGAAGATGATACATGACAACACCAACATGTGCAAGTTTCCATCTAAGCCAGTCATCATCATGACTTGTAAATATATCACTGTTCCTTCAGTGTTGCTGGCTCAAAATCCTGGAACTCCCTCCCTCGTGGCATTTTGGATGTACCTACACCAAATGAACTGCAGCAGTTGAGCAAGGCAGCTCAGGGCCACCTTCTCAAGGACAACTAGGGATGGGTAACAAATGCTAGCCCAGATAGCAATGCTCATAATCCATGAATGAATTTTAAAATAGCCAGGTCATTTAAAATGTTTAAGGGGGAGGTAGATTCTGCAGTAAACAGGTAGATGGGAGTGTGAAATTTGAAATGCAAACAGCTCAGTCATGATTATATTGGATGGAATCCCCTTTACCCATTAACCATGTGTTCACCGACTCCTGTTCCATCAGCGCATCAACATTAAAGCTCTCATCCATTTTCAAATCACTCCATTGCCTCATCCTTTACTATATTTGCAGCTCTCTGCAGTTCTACATGTCTTCAAGACCTCCATTTTCTTCAAAATTGGGTCTTTTGTGCATTTCTTACGTACAACTTTAATCGACCATCATTTACAGTTGTGTCTTCAGCTGTCCATACTTTAATTTCTGGAATTTCCTCCCTAAAACTTTCCACCCGACTCTCCTCCTTGAAGACATCCATTAAAACTTGCATTTGTCCAAGCTTTTAATCATCTGTTCATTTAGGTGGTTTGGTGTCATATTTTGTTTGATAATCCACTGCCTTTTGAGAAGAGATTTCGGGCTTTCTACTACACTTTCTATGAAGAAGTGTTTCCTGATTTCTCTCTTAAAAAGGCCTAGATCATGACCCCTCAATCTTGCTTTCCTCCACCAGAAAAAAATTGTTTCACTGTTTCTTTTCTGTATCTTTTAAACTTTCCAAATACCTTGATCAGGTCACCCAAAGTTCTTTTAGACATATGGAATACACTCAAGTTTATGCCACCTGTCCTCAATTTAACCCTCCAAACTCCCATCTGATGTTGAATTTTCAGTACACCTATCCGTAATGAGGTGCGATCCTTAAAAATGAGTGCAGCATTCCAGATCATTGTCTTTGCAACTAATGTATAACTTCCTCACTTGCAAGAATGACTAAAAAAACTTCATTCAACCTGGTTTGTATTTGCAATAGTTCATAACTCCATGAAAATAGCAGCAACCGACCACCTATCAGGGGTGAATTATCAGTTCATTTCCTACACTGGCTGAAGTTACCATGAAGGTCCCAACTTCTCAACCTTTTCCTTTGCTTGAGGCGTGGTGACCCTTAGGTCAAACTTACCATCTTTCATCTCTATATAATGACAGAGCAGCCCTATCACAGGAACATTGCCAAGTGACTCAGTAACATTTGGCTCTCGTTATCTTTGTAAAATGGAGATATGAAAGATTCTAAACAAGGAATACAAAATGGCAAAGTAGTTATGCAATGCTATCAGTTGTGGTGTTAGACTGTAATAGATCATATTTTACATCCAAGAGAAGGAGACTTTATTCAGATGGATTAACACAGAGTTTTTAAAATAACCTGCTCCCGGAACTGAACTGAGCTTAATCTTTCTGAATGTATAACAGAGTGTCTTTAAGAATGTTCTACCCAGAATGGAAGTATTGAAATATGCATGACTTACAACAGCATACAATTAACTAGGTTATTTGCCTACATCACACAGAACGTTTGTTTTAAATCACAGAGCATCTAAATAGAATTTTAATTCCTTAATTAATGAACTATTTTTTCATCACATGCCAGACTTTTACTCAACATGGCCAAAAGACGATTTGTTGATTTTGACTTATCAGATTACGCCAGGTAGTTTTCCTGTACAACAATATAAAAATAAACAAACTATTAATTAACTATATTTGCTGGATAATCAGGTTCCAAATATTTTATAGATCCACTATGCAACAATAATTCTTATCCTATGTTGTGAACTAAGTCACCACCAGTTTAAAATTTAATTTCAAGCAGCTTCACGCCAAGCAAGGTAAAGCTGGAGACAAACGGAAGGTGCAGTTTGATATCAATGTGTTGGGAAGCTTAAAAAGTGATCCTCTTTTTCAAACACAATACAATGCTGTCTCCCTTAAATGAACATTTTCTATCCTTCACTTTAAGATTTACACATGAGCAGATAAAAAATTGTTGATAACATGGGTACCATTACACATATGCTAACAGAGACAAAGTAATCTTTCATGGATGTGAATCAGTTTGCCAAAAATGCTTAGTTAGAACAGTAAAAATTATGTGGAGGCAACGTTCACAGTCAACAACTGACCAGTGGCCCTCATCTTAAAATGGGCAATTAAGAAATTTTTTAGACAAACCACTAGATGGAGCACCTCTGAAAGTAAAAACATCTGGTTTGGCTAAAGGGCTGAAGCAAAAAAAGACTCACAAAGTTTTGCATTTGTAATTGAAACAGTCAATGGTATTTTTTGTTTCAAAGATCAAAAAATTAATTGATTATGTTTATGTTCTTATCTTCAAATACATTTTCCTTCCATACAGTGTGTGAATTCAGACCAGTGCCATAACTGCATAGGGATTTTTAACAATGCTCTTTTATTCAAGAAACTTGTTTGCAGAAAGATTAAAAGTTTGCTGCCCCTGCTTTAGCTGAGAAGGTTTTTACAAGTTAATGACATGATCGGACAAAAATAGTCAATCATTCTACGCCAACATCCAAAATGAGATTATTTGAAGAGCGAATAAAAACTGTTATAAGATAACAAGGTGTGGAGCTGGAGGAACACAGCAGGCTAGGCAGCATCAGAGGAGCAGAAAAGCTGACGTCTTGGGTCGGGACCCTTCTTCAGAAATGGGGGAGGGGAAGGGGGCTCTGAAATAAATAGAGAGGGGGGAGCGGTGATGGCAGGTAGATAGTGGAGCGCATAGGTGGGAGAGAAGACAGACAGGTCAAGAGGCAGGGATGAAGCTAGTAAAGATGAGTGCAGGTAGGAAGTGGGGGTAGGGATTGGTCAGTGAGCTGGGAGGAGCAGATTGGTGGAAGAGAAGACGGACAGGTCAAGGAGGCGGGGATAAGAGGGGGGGCTGGCCTTGGGTTGAGGTCGGGGTGGGGAGATTTTGAAGCTAGTAAAGTCCACATTGAGACCATTGGGTTGTAGGCTTCCAAGGCAGAATATGACATGTTGTTCCTCCAGTTTCCGGGTGGCATTGTTATGACACTGGAGGAGGCCCCGGATGGACATGTAGTCCAGGGTGTGAGAGGGGGAGTTGAAGTGGTTCACCACTGGGAGGTGTTGTCATTTGTCGCGAACCGAGCGTGGGTGCACCACAAAGCGTACTCTGACCCTCTGCTTGGTCTCCCCAACGTAGAGGAGACCAGGTCGGGAACAGTGGATACAATAGACCACATTAGTGGATGTGTAGGTGAACATCTGTTTAATGTGGAAGGTTTTTTTGTGGCCTGGGATAGAGGTGAGGGGGGAGGTGTAGGGGCAGGTGCAGCACCTCCTGCGGTTGCAGGGAAAGGTGCTGAGTGTGGTGGGGCTAGTGGGGAGTGTGGAGCGGATGAGGGAGTCGCGGAGAGAGCACTCCCTCCAGAAGGCAGATAAGGGTGGGGAGGGAAATATATCCTTGGTAGTGGGGTCAGATTGCAGGTGGCGGAAGTGGCAGAGAATGATGCGTTGAATCCGGAGGTTAATGGGATGATACGTGAGGACAAGGGGAATTCTGTCTTTGTTTTTATTGCAGGGATGGGGTGTGAGGGCTGAGGTGCAGGAAACGCAAGAGATGTGGTCGAGGGCGTTTTCGACCTCTGGCGGGGGGGGGAATTGCGGTCCTTGAAAAACTGTTCTTTGTTTTAGATTTAAGTTTTATGAAGCAAAATTCACTCTTTTCGATTACCTTTCCAATGAATTGTACACTTAACATTTGGCTAAGTTTTATGCTTACTGTAAATACTGCATAAATCAACAGATTATTCACTTCTGTTTTCAACTTCTGTGAACCAATCTTTTCTGAGTTACTGAAACGCGGTCTGACATTGGAACAGGTGTAGGCCATTTAACTCCTTGAGCCTGTTTCACTATTCAGGACACTAACCTTAAATTCTTCAATGATAATGCTTAGGGCATCATGACCAGCTTTCCTCAGGTCTTCCAGCTCTTGTTTGTGTTTATCCTGCAAAAACAGTATCACACATTGTTGAAGTATCAATAATGGAGACTTTTAAAGGTATCACTACAGAATTCAGTATTAAATTATAGTTCCATAGAACATAGAACTGTACAGCACAGGAACAGGCCCTTTGGCCCACGATGTTGTGCCGAACATGACACCAAATGAAACCAATCCCTTCTGCCTGCCATTGGTCCATATCCCTCCATTCCTCACATTTTCATGTGCTTATCAAAAAGTCCCTTAAATGCCCCTATTGTATCTGACTCCAACACCACCCCTACCAGACTCCTACCATGCTCTGTGTAAAAAACTTCCCCCTCACATCTCCTTTGAACTTTCCCCCTTTAACCTTAAATGCATGCCCACTGGTATTAGACATTTCAACTCTGGGAAAAGGATTCTGACCATTAACCCTAACTATGCATCTCATAATTTTACAGACTTCTATCAAGTCTCCCCTCAGCCTGAGCCACTTAAGAGAAAACAACCCAAGTTTTTCTAGCCTCTCCTTATAGCTCATACCCTCTAATCCAGGCAGCATCCTGGTAAATCTTTTCTGCACCCTATATTTACTTTGGTCTCTCTCTACCTTTGTACGTAAATAAGCTCTTGTTGTCTGATTTCATGTTGCTTCATGTTTACTCTAATAGTCTATTTTCTTCTTCTTTATTTTTCGTCATCTTTTAAAATTTTCCCAATCCGCTGTTTTCCCACTAATCTTTGCAAAATTGTATGTTTTTTTTCTTTCAACTTTTTACTATCCTGAACTGATTTGATAAACAATGATCGGTTTATACACTTCCTACAATCCATCTTCCTCATTGGGAGTCTTCTTTGTTGTTGATCATGAAATATTTTCATAAACAATTGCCATTGATCCTCAACCATCATTTCTGCTGTTAATTGCTATTGGATTATTTCATCTTATAAAAGTGAACAAAGTTCAGTTGTCATGTCTTGTTTCATATTGAAATGTGTAGATAGCTGAAAGATTTTCTAAATCCTAGAATTATAATGTTTTAATTTTTTGTGTTAGAATTTAATGGCTTCAGAGTATTGTCTGCCTACTATTAAAGAATAAAAACATCTGTTGTGTAGTTTTAAACTCTTGTTGTTGTTGTTGTAGTATTTATCTGTAAGTGTTTTAAACTGAAAACTTGCACAATGGATAGATTTCCAACTAATGGCTTTATTATACATTCAACATTTAAAAAAAGTCGACAAACCTAAGAAGTTCAAAACATAAGCTCAAAAATAAGATGGGTGCAATCACTCTAATTGGATTACACTATAGGCCTCCCAACAGCCACCAAGAGACTGAGGAACAAATATGTAGGCAGATTATGGAAACGTGCAATAAAAACAGAGTTATCATAGTGGGTAACTTGAGCTTCCCCAATAATGAGTAGGACTCCCTTAGAGCAAGAGACTTGGACAGAGCAGAATTTGTTAACTGCATCCAAAAGGGATTTTTGAAACTGTACATAGATGGTCCAATTAGAAGAAGGGCCATGCTGGAACTTGTACTGGCTAATATGAGTCTGGCCACGTTACTGACCTTTCAGTGGGAGAGCATTTTGGTAACAGTGATCACAACTCCTTAAGTTTTTGGATAGCTATGAACAAGGATAAGTCAGGACCTTGCGGAAAGGTACTAAACTGGAGGAGGGCAAATTACATCAATACCACGTAGGAGCTAGGGAATGTTAATTGGGAAGACCTGTTATCAGGCAAGTTCACATTTGACATGTAGGAATTGTTTAAAGACCTGCTGATGAGACTTCAGGACCAGCATGTTCCAGTAAGGAGGAAAGACAAGGATAGCAAGGCAAGGGATCCTTGGATAACTAGGAATGTTCTGATTTAGTCAAAAGGGGAAAAGAAGCATATTTAAGGTTTAGGAAGCTAAAATCGGACAGGGCCCATGAGGAATATAAAGAAAACAGGTAAGCACTCAAACAGGGAATTAGGAGAACAAGAAGAGGCCATGAAATGATCTTGGCAAGTTGGGTTAAAGAGAATTATATAGATACATTAAAAACAAGAAGATAACTAGGGAGAAGGCAGGACCACTCAAAGATAAAGGAGAGAACTTGTGCTTGGAGGCAGAGAATGTGGGTGAGATCCTAAATGAGTACTTTGCATCGGTATTCACCCAGGAAAAGGATATAGAGGATAGTGAGATTTGTGTGGAGCATGCTAATGTGCAGGGCATTTTGAGATCAAGAAAGAAGTGTTGTTGGATCTCTTGAAGAGGCTGAAGGTGGATAAATCCCCAGGGGCCAATGATGTCTACCCCAGGCTGTTGAGAGAGGTAAGAGAGGAGATTGCTGGGGCTTTGGCCAAGATCTTTGTATCTTTGCTAGTCACTGGAGAGGTCCCAGAGGATTGACGAGTGGCTAATGTTATTCCTCTGTTCAAGAAGGGAAATAGAGATAATCCAGGAAACTACAGACAAGTGAGTCTCAAATTGGTGGTTGAGAAGTTATCGGAGAGAATTCTTAGGGATAGGATTTACACACATTTGGAAAAGCATGGCCTAATTAGGGAAAGTCAGCATAGCTTTGCGCAGGACAAGCCATGTCTTACTAACTTGATTGAATTTTTCGAGGAGGTCACAAAGGTGACTGATGAGGGTAGAGCAGCGAATGTTGTTTACGTGAATTTTAGTAAGGCTTTTGACAAGACCCCTCTGATAGGCTTATCCAGAAGATTAAGATGCATGGGATCAATGGTGACTTGGCCACATGGATTCAGAATTGGCTTGCCCATACACAAAAGAGTATCTGGTGGAAGGGTGTTTTTCAGGTTGGAAATCCATGCGTGTTCCGCAGGGATCTATACTGGGGCCTCTGCTGTAAGTTTGCAGACAATACAGAGATCAGTGGAGTTGTGAATAGTGTAGAAGGTTGTCATAGGATACAGTGGGCTACAGATCAGTTGCAGATATGGGAGGAAAAATGGCAGATGGAGTTTAATCCAGTGTGAGGTCCTACACTTTTGGAAATTAAATGTTAAGGAAAAACATACAGTTAATACTCAAATAGTAATTAGCAGCAGAAATGATGGTTGAGGAACAATGGCATTTGTTTAGGAAAATATTTCATGACCCACAACAAAGAGGACTTCTAACAAGGAAGATGGATTGTAGGAAGGGGATAAACCAATCATTGTTTATCAAATAAGTTCAGGGTAGTAAAAAGTTGAAAGAAAAAAAACATACAATTTGGCAAAGATTAGTGGGAACCAGAGGATTGGGAAAATTTTAAAAGACAACAAAAGATGACCAAAAATAAAGAGGAAGAAAATGGACTATGAGAGTTAACATGAAGTGACATAAAATCAAACAGTAAGAGCTTATTTACGTACATAAGATAGAGAGAGACCAAAGTTAATATAGGGTCCTCAGAGCCTGAGGAAGTAATAATGGGGGAACCAGGAAATGGCAGAAGAATTAAGTAGCTTGCACCAGTCTTCATAAAACAGGTCATTAATAACATTCCAAAAATTCTACCGTGGCAAGAAAATAAATAAGGTAACTATCACAAGAAATAATGTATTAGCAAAACTATTGGGGTTAAAGGCCAATAAGTCAGTTGGACCTGATGAGTTGCATTCAAGGATCGTAAAGGAAATAGCTAGAGAGCTAGTGGATGCTCTGGTAGCAATGTTCCAAGAATCCATAAATTTGGGAAAAGGCCCACAGGATTTGAAAACTGCTGATATAGCACCCTATTCAAAAAGGGAGAAAAAAGAAAACAGATAATTATAGATCTGTTATGATTAACACCTGCCTTTGAAAAAATACTATTGTCTAAAGAAATTAATAGCGGAGCATGTAGAAATACACAATAAAATCAAGAAGACTCAAAGAATTTATTAGAATTAATTGATTAGGTAACAAGCAGGAAAGATAAAAGGGAATCAGTAGATGTAAAACATTTGAATTTCAAAATGGTATTTGATAAGGTATTCCACATAAGGTGGTTTCACAATATAAGAGTCCCTGGTGTTGCAGTGTTATAGTAGCACAGATAGAGGATTGGCTAACTAAAAGAAGACAGAGAGTTGGGATAAAGGGGGCATTTTCAGGGTGACAACCTATAATTCCTGGAGTACCACAGACTAGGCCACAATTATTTACAATATATATTAATGACTTGGATGAGGGGAGTTTTAGTTTTATCGCCAAGTTTTAGATGACAAAAATAGGTAGGAATGCAAGCAGTGAGGATGACATAGAGTGTACAGAAGTATATAGATAGGTTAATTGATTGGACACTAACTTAGCAGGTGGAAAAATGTGAGCTTATGCACTTCAATCAGGAAGAAAGAAAAGCTGAATATTATTGAAATGGAGAAAAACTACAGAAAGCTGCTGCACAGTCAGATTTGGTGACACTTGTGCATGAATCACAAAAGGTTAGCATGGAATGTTGACCTTTAATTCAAAAAAATGCCGAGTATAAAAATAAGGCAATCTTGTTAAACTATACAAAGCACTGGTCAGATCACTCCTAGAATGCTGTGAACAGTTTTGGTCGAATTGTCTAAGTAAAGATATACTGGCACGGCAGCAATCTAGAGAAAGTTCACGAGGTCGAACCTGGATATAGATGAATTTTCTTATGAGAAAATGTTGAACACATTGGGCCTGTACTCAGTGAAATTTAACAGAATGAGACGTGACTTTATTGAAACTTATTGAAAGGATATGGGGGGGGAAGCAGGAAGGTAGAATTGAGGATTATCAGATCAGCCATGATCTCATTGAATTGCAGGAAAGAGTAAATGAACCAGTAAATGGCCTACTTCTACTCCAATAGCTAATGGCAAATCTGTCATTTTTTCAGAAGTATCAATATCTTTGCTCTGTTGTACTTGAAGTTGCTACTTTTCACATCTATGGAAATGTTGCTTCAACCCAATTAGACTTTACTGAACTGACAAAACAGAATGAAATCTTTGTATTCATGTTTGAAGTGCTTGGATGATGACCT